GGGGCGGCGGCCGCCCCTGGAGCGGGTTGTGGCGGCGGCATCAGGAGGTTCTGCTCCGGGAGCCCGGAGAGCCAGAGCGGGCCTCTGTTCCCCAAAAGAGGACCCGGCCCGGAGACCTGGAGCATTGAACTTTATGCGCCGGGGATACGGGTATAGCAACAGGCTGGGGGGGATGTAGGTGGGGATGGGGGGAGGAGGCTCAGTGGGAGCCCTTCCCCATGCCTCCATCTTGCCTAATCCTTGTTTTCCTGCCTCAAAGCTTCCCCAGAAGGGGGATCATGACCAACATACAACTGTGCTGAAATAACACTGTTCTGATTGCCACTCAGTGGTTGTCATAGCTGCCTCTTGGCAGCCGTTTTATTTTCGGAGGGGTGGGGGAAAGAACACTTGGCCTGTATTATGGAGTGAGTTTGTTTTATATCGAGAAGATCTTGATCCTCACAAATTTAGATCAGATTCAGAAGTCCGAGGTAGTAAAACTGTACGGAGTGTGTGTGTGGTTTTTTGTCTTGAGGGCCCCTCAAACTCTAGCATGGATATTTAACCTCGCTGGCATTGAAAGAGTTTGCAGAATCACTATCGTGATTAGAGATTACAGGTCAGAGGTGATGAAATGCTGGCCCCATTGAAGTGAATAGCAAAATTCCCATTGATTTCAATCTGTCCGGGATTTCACCCACAATGCATTTTTTCTTAGTCACAGATTTGAATACTGTCTTAGACTCCAATCTTCAAATGGATCCCTATAGGTGTGCCTGCCCCTCCCCATGGGGCCTTGATTTTTGTTCAATATGGCCTTCACCCTGGTCCAAGAATCTGCTGGGGTGGATCCAGTTGCAGGACTGGAATCCACATCAATAGTCACCAAAAAGTTAACTTATTGATGGATTTGCCAGCCTGTGTAACCTGGGCTGACTTTCCTAGTCTAGTCCAGGCTTTCTCTGATATGGTGCCTGAGTACAATCATAGTTACTGATTACTTCAGTTAGTAATCTTGCTACCAGTCTCAGAAGTGGGATGTTGGAAAAAAAAGTTGTGCTGTTACAATCCATTAAATGTCTTTTCTCTGGATATTTTGAGCCTAAATATGGAGAGAACCTGTTTCCTCACAACAAATACAACCTGAAGAGAAGCCCTTGAAATTAATTTGAAGACTGATAATACTAATCCACATGGGAATACTGAGTGCAGGGAGACGACAGTGCACTTTTACATAATCAGCTTCATTTTATCCACACATTGCTATACTGTATACCAAAGAAGACCTACATACTCTTAACTGCAGGCAACATCTCCTGAAAATAGAGTCTGAGGTTCTAGATTTAGAAGAAACTGGGCAAGCATTATTTTGAAGTTGTAGTTCTCGCAGTCTGAAATGTTTTTCTTCTACTTCATACCTTGAGAGCTGGAAGGAGGAACTGGAAATGGCAATTCAATATAAATGTGAACACTGCTCAGTTCTATTTCAATCAAGTTAAGGCTTTCTTTATTAAAGGAACAAGCTTCAAGAAAGCAAGCATCACTTTTATAGAGATCTGTGTTTGTGATTGAAATAATTGAGAAGATCGGTGTGCTGCAACTTAAATTTTTAGGACTAAATTCTGCTCCTAATTACATAGATCTTAATATGAAATTAATTTGGCTTATATACTTCATTATCTGATGTTCATGACTCAACAGCTTACCATAGCTTTGCTGGTCTTCTATATTTTACTTTTGTTTGTTGCCTTTTACTCTTTTGGCCATAAACATTAAATTCTGTTTATACATTTACAATTATTTCATATCTGTGTCTGCTGGAAGATTACAAAGCTATATATGAGTACAAGATTTAGATTTCAATCTCATTTACATCTTTGACATACCAGTTGCAACAGATACATATGTATTTATATTTTAGGATAAATGAATTTTTATAATCTTTTCATTAATCATAGAATCATAGAATAATAGGACTGGAAGGGACCTCAAGAGGTCATCGAGTCCAGCCCCCCGCCCTCAAGGCAGGACCAAGCTCCGTCTACACCATCCCTGACAGATGTCTATCTAACCTGTTCTTAAATATCTCCAGAGAGGGAGATTCCACCACCTCCCTTGGCAATTTATTCCAATATTTGACCACCCTGACAGTTAGGAATGTTTTCCTAATGTCCAATCTAAACCTCCCCTGCTGCACTTTAAGCCCATTACTCCTTGTCCTGTCCTCAGAAACCAAGAGGCTATCATGTCCCCCTTAATCTTCTTTTTTCCAAATTAAACAAGCCCAGTTCATGAAGCCTGGCTTCATAGGTCATGTTCTCTAGGCCTTTAATCATTCTTGTCGCTCTTCTCTGTACCCTTTCCAATTTCTCCACATCTTTCTTGAAATGTGGCATCCAGAACTGGACACAGTACTCCAGCTGAGGCCTAACTAGTGCAGAGTAGAGCGGCAGAATGACTTCATGAGTTTTGCTTACAACACACCTGTTGATACAACCTAGAATCATATTTGCTTTTTTTGCTACAGCATCACACTGTTGACTCATATTCAACTTGGGGTCCACTATGACCCCTAGATCCCTTTCCGCCATGCTCCTTCCTAGACAGTCGCTTCCCATCTTGTATGTATGGAACTGATTGTTCCTTCCTAAGTGGAGCACTTTGCATTGTCCTGTATTTCCTTCAAAATCAGATTTCAGGTAAAACTTTAGAAGCACTTAAGTGATTTAGAAGCTTAAATCCCATTTTCAAAAATGACTAGTTTATGTCCCATTGACTTTCAATTACTTAGCCTCTTGAGTAGCTAAATCAGTTTTCAAAGGAGGTTTTTTTTTTCAATATATTCCCCCAGTGCCAAAAATCACACCTGAAGTTTTAAAAAATTATCTGATAGTTCTTTGTCTGGAGGGGTTGGACTAGATTCATCTTTAAGCCTTTATTCTCATCGTGAGTTTTATTTTTTCTGCAGCTGTTTGGAGCACTCGTCTGGATTTTGGTAGCTGCCTCTCAAGTTCCACTGCCTGTGCTGCAGGGATGGGTGATGTTTGTGTCAGTGACTGCTTGTCTTTTGTCCATTCTCTTCCTGAGTGTATTCCTTTTTAGTTTTACACAAAGAATTGCTGTGGACTGGAACCAGATGGTAAGCTTTACTTCTGGGGGCATAATTTTATGAGAAAAAATGAATTGATCTTACTCTTCATAAGATTTGTAAGGTCTGATCCAAAGCCCAGTGAAATCAATGAAGAGACTCTTACTAATTTTGCTGGGCTTTGGATCAGAACCTAAAATATTTTGCCAGAGTTGATGTTTGGCTTTCATATCATGAATGGCCAAAGCATGGTCTGCAGCACAAATATAACTCCAAGTTCTTCAGTGACACGTCTGCCCCTTTCTTTTAATTTGATAGTGCAGTTTATGGAAACTACAGGCCCTAGCATGCAGAGTTCGGTGTTTATTCAATCAGGTGGCAAGATTCTGCTCAGGTTATATTGAATGTTTACCTGCTGGAACCAGTAGTTCTCACAAACTGTACCTCCATATTTAAAAAAACAAAAAAACCAGCTGTAGTCTGCTCCATTTTAGGTTATCTTAAACTACTGGCAAGTTACTAAGAGCATCCCTCAATGACTTATAGTTTGGATAGTTTTCTGAAAACGTCCATGCAGTGTGCAGCAGCAGTCCAAAAAAAAAAAAGCAAATAGGATGCTAGGAATTATTAAAAAAGGGATAGAAAATAAGACGAAGAATATCTTACTGCCCCTGTATAAAACTATAGTACGCCCACATCTTGAATACTGCATACAGATGTGGTCTCCTCACCTCAAAAAAAGATATTTTGGCATTAGAAACGGTTCAGAAAAGGGCAACTAAAATGATTAGGAGTTTGGAACGGGTCCCATATGAGAAGAGGCTAAAGAGACTGGGATTTTTCAGTTTAGAAAAGAGGAGACTGAGGGGGGATATGATAGAGGTATATAAAATCATGAATGGTGTGGAGAGGGTGAATAAATAAAAGTTATTTACTTGTTCCTGTAATATAAAAACTAGAAGACACCAAATGAAATTAATGGGGAGCAGGTTTAAAATGAATAAAAGAATGTGCGCTGTGTGAAGGAAAACTATCAACCTGTGGAACTCCTTGCAAGAGGAGGCAGTGAAGGCTAGGACTATAATAGAGTTTAAAAAAGAGCTAGATAAATTCATGGAGGTTAGGTCCATAAAAGGCTAATAGCCATGGGGTAAGGAATGGTGCCTCTGACCTCTGTTTGTCAAAGGCTGGAGATGGATGGCAGGAGACAAATTGCTTGATCATTGTCTTCAGTCCATACCCTCAGGGACACCTGGCACTGGCCACTGTCAGCAGACAGGATACTGGGCTAGATGGACCTTTGGTCTGACCTAGTATTGCCATTCTTATGTTCTTATGTACTCTCCTGTGTTACTACCTAAAAATGTGTTCTTGTGAAGTGTGTGCTCAGAATGGGATGCCTGCAGACAGGGACTGCTTCACACCAGCCTCCCCTATTCCCCCTGCTGCCTCTGATAGGTCCCAGTGTGATGTACCTGGGTGCAGGACTAGGTGACAGTCCCTTCATTTGTGTGCTTTTTGAATCAAAGGTCATAGAACTTCATAACTTCGGAGGTTGAAAGATTAAACATGTGTAATGAGTCCATTAGCAGTGATACTCTGGATTCTAGCCAAACAGACTTCAGCACCACAGCTGTAGTGTTTCACTGTACATAAACACAATGTATAACTTCAGCTCTTCGATGGAATTAAACCACAAATCAGGTTAAGCTTGTTAATTACTCTTGTAATGAGTTTGAAAGTCACTATCCCAAGATTCTGAGTGGGATGTTGAGGAAATTACAGGGAATTTCACAGCATGTTGTTAATGTTGTTCGGGGGCGGTCACATCAGTTGTGCAGAAAAACATATAAAGCATGAGTATTACTTTTAAACAAGTGAATAGTGTCATTGCTTTCAGTGGAATTAGTCACAGACATAAAAGTTCTGCACATAATCAAGTGCTGTGCTGGATTGGAGCCATAGTGCCTTTTTGCGTGTTCAAAATACTACACAAACATTCATCCTATAATTCTCCTTGTAGATATTCATTATACATTAAGCATTTGATAAGACAATATCAATGTTGTTGACTATTCTTATACCTGACTGGATAGGGGTTTTAAAAATAAAAAGAACAAACAGCAGCATAGTAGACTAACACTTAACTTGGAAGCTGTTTTAAAGAAAAGATTTTTGTATTATTTCTTATGCTGCAGAAACTACAATTTGGCATGGAATTCAGAATGGCTAAGTAAGGCTAGTGGTTTGACAAGGCCAAAAATGGGAAAACTACATTTATTACCTTAAAAAACATTTTAACCCTCCACTCCCAAACTCCACTATCCCAGATGCGTATTTGTAGCATTTTTAGGGTAAGATTCTTCCAGTTTTATGCTGAGCAGTACCTTATTTCCTGCTTAGCCTGATTCAAACTAATGGCACTAGTCATGGGACTAAGATCTTACTCAAAAGGAGTAAGGGAGTTGTGCTGCTCCATTCTGAACCAGATGATATTACAAAAACCATAGACTTTATTTTCTATATAATCCAGAGGCACTGAGACTACTGTGGAGGAGAAGGAAGTGTCTTCTGTAGCCTTATCTGACAGCTAGTTGGCTTTTAGTTCATGCAGTAGAAGCTCATGGCTTTAGTCCCAAAGTTTTCAAGTCCAGTCCCTCCAGCCAACGAGGGTTCCATGGGTGTTACATCTACTCATTGTGTAGTTGTGTACATCTGCACAAACTAGGTATAAACTACCATTCTGTTCTGATTTGATAATATTTTACACACTCTGCACTTAAAACTTTTAAGTGTAGACAAAGCCTCAATCTAGGTAGGACTAAGCTATTTGGTGCAGTATATGCCCTTTCATGTCATGTTTCAGAAGAGTAGCCAAAAAGGTTGAGCAATGGAGTTGTATGCTAGGTATTTGACAGAGGAGAATAAGGAGTGGATCTCCTTAGTCATTTACTACAGAATACTTATCTAGTTCTGCAGTTTTACAGAGCAGCTTGCAAGGGCCTTGTCTTACAATCAGATCCATGATAGTGCAGCCTGGTGCCCACCTAGAGTCCTATTGAACCCTATGAACTCCAATGATGATACTTCAGGCAACAGTAGAAAAGAACTAGGACACAGGCAAAGGGCCAGGAATCGGGAATTACCGCAGTCATCCTTGCCAAAACAAGGAGTCGGTGACTTGAAACTGAGGCTACAGCTAGTAGATGGAAAGGCAATTAGCAATAAAACCAGCACTGTCCATGACCTGATCTCAAACTATCATTGATAGAAAGCTATTTCTTCGGAGCAGAGGAGGAAACTCTGGTAGTGACTCAGGTAGTAACTTTTCGGAACTGAACACTGCATGGATGTATTGAGTCAAATCTGGACTTGCTGATGCTAGAATTACATTCTTTTACAAAGTGGACTCATTTGACTTAAAACCAAAGTGCACATACCAAACCCTGAAAAATCTATGAAGAAAATATTTTCCTAACTAGGGAAATGAAGGATTTTAAGCAGACTGCATGGGAGCACTGGCTTCTGGAGAGCCACCTGTCTTCCTTCCACTCCTGCTGATAGCTCTGATACAGCTTCAGAGGCAGCAGCATGGGGTAGGGGGGCAGGCGGGAGCTGGTATGCATGTGGGGCTGGCTTAAAAGCTGACTCCTTGCAAGCGCTGGCTCTCACCTGCTCCACCCAAGCTGCTGCCTCTGTGCTGCTGCCCCCCATGCTGCTACCTCCACCAGAGCTGCCTTCCCCACCCTGCATGTGTAAACGTGTAACCGCTGAAAATATTAGTGGTTACATGTTTACCACCACCCCCCAAAACGAAATTTAATATCCTTAATTGGCAGTGTATAAATCTTTTATTGGCAAGAGAATGGGATTGCTACATTCCTAGTACCAAAGGCACAAGTTACTTATGTAAGTTGCCTGAAATAAGTGATACCTTGTTTCAGTTCTATATGTTTTATATAGTAGGAATATAAATATTTTAAGGATGTTTTAAAACAGGCCTGGGCAAAATGTGGGCTGCATTGTGGCCATGGAGGCAGCAGGGAGCCCAATTTGCAGTGCAGAAACACAGCTGCCAGGCTTCCCCCCTCCCCTCCAGTTTTGAAAGAGAAAGGAAGTTTTAGGAGCCGCCTACCTCCAACACTATCCCATCACTGGTTTCTGGCCAGAAACAAGCCAATGGGAGCTGCTTGTTTGAATAATAGGCAGCCAAGAAGAACCACACCCCCTCTCCTCTGCTCAGTTATTCTCTGAAGCACATGGCCAAGCAAGCTGGTAGGCTAGCTGGGAAATGTTTTAAGCCCTGCAAGCCTTATTTAGCTCTTTAGGCAGGCAGGCTGGTTTGGCTGCTGGCTGGTAAGTCTCTTGGCCACAGCCTACCTCTGGCACCCCAGCCCCTCCCTGCCCCAACTCTCTGTCCCCCTCCTTCACCCATACCCCCTCCCAGATCTGGCATCCTAATCTCCTGCCCCGGATCACAATCCCCTTCTATCTTAGGTAACATCCCAAACCCCTGCACTCCAGTGTCCTGCCCTAGGTCACAACTGCCTCCTTCACCCAAACTCCCTCCCAGACTCTAGTCTCCCTCCTGCACCCCAATCCCTTAGCCCATGCTCCCCTCTGCACCCAACTTCCATCCCAGACCTGCATCTCTTCCATTAATATCATGGAAGAGTGCAGCCTTCGACCACTTTCTAAAATCTTGGAGTGGTCCCCCGCAAAAAATGATTGCCCACCCCTGTTTTAAAAGCTTTATTGGATTGGGACTGTTTTTGTATCCTTCAACCTGGAAAGTCAGGCTCATAGTGCCTACAGCCAAAATGTACAGGACTTGAGAGAGAAATTAAAACTAACACATAAAATGCCTCTCTGAGTGAACGTAAATAGCAAATATTTGTATGCAACAGGATGGGCTTTGGACTTTGTTTTACTGTAAGTATGGTATACACCATACTATTTTAAAATAGTGGTTTTTGGTTTTTAAGGAACAAAATTGATGACATTTCAAATTTTGCTTTTAAAACATGACAATATAATTGCTGATCTAGATCACTTAAAAGAGGTCAAGTTATATTTCGCAGCTGTGGGTTTTACTCCTGTTTTGCTTTTGCACTGTTACACAGTAATATAACTGAGTTTTTATCACCTTGTATACTCTTTCTAAGATATAAAGATTACAGTAAAACTCCAATAGTCCGGCACTCCTGATAGTCCGGCATCAAAATGGCAAGAGCCTAGTGAGTGAGCTTCGGCAAAAAATGAGTCATAAGGTAACAGCGGCAGCAGCTGAACTGAGCAAAAAGGGTAGAAGAGGCTTAAAAAAACTAAAACGTTACAGTATACTGTATACAGTATGTACAATAAAAAGGGTTAAGAACACTTTATATACAGTATATAGTGTGTGTGTGTGTGTATATGTGTATATCTATCTATCTATCTATCTATCTATCTATCTATCTATCTATATACACACCAGTTTATAGTACCCCCTGATAGTCCGGCATATCTGATAATCCGGCACCACGTAGGTCCCATAGGTTCCGGATTATCGGAAGTCTGCTGTATAAAGTTTCTTACTTTGTTGTGTTTCATTGCAGTGTGACGACCACTCCTAGTTGTCATTTAGGTCATCAGTTGATCAGAAAGCCGTTAGTATGATACACCTAAGCTTGCTTTTTGTTTGTATTTTGTTTGCACAGAAAGCTAGGGATTGGTTAGCAAGAATGCACATATTCAATTAGTTACAACATTGACTAATTCTCTCACTTTCTTTTCAGGATTTTCTTTTCCATGCAGTTATTTTTGTCTTTTATTTTGGAGCCTTTTTGCTGCAAGCAGCAACAACATCTCTGCATAATAATATATTTAAACAAAATGTCACTACGTTTCTAAGTGATCAAGAATATAACATAAGCATAGCAGCATCAGTAAGTATGTTATTGATACACATCAAGAGATAGAAGTCTGCTTAAACCATTTTAGCAACCCAATCCATCTCTGACTCTAATAGCTAACTAGAATGTAAACTTTTTGGGGAAGAGAGTGTTTGCCTTTGTGTGTTACACAGCATTGAGTTTGGAAAATAGTTTTTTTTTTTTTTTTTTTATTTCTCCCTTTGTCCCAATAAGTTGTTACTGTATGGTAGGTATTTGCTGCACTACACTATAATGTTCTTTATATTTGATCATAAGGGATCGCATAAGCCATATTAGTCGTTGGAAGAGAAGGCTCAATTATGTTTTCGTTTGCGTCAGAGCGATGCTACCACTTCCCCATTAGGAATTTGAAAGTGTAACCATGTACAAGGTGAACAGATGAGCCTTGGTTCATCAGTTAACGTCTATGGTTAAACGCAGGCTTCCAATATGCATGGGAAGCCAGCTTAAAAGCCTATTCCCTGTGCACTCCTGTGGAGTCGCCTGCCACCCTGCGCTGTTGCCTCTGATGTAGAGGCAAAAGCACAAGGGGGCAGATGGCAGCCAGTATGTGTGGGGAGCTGGCTTAAAGCTAGCTCCCTGTGTGCACCAGCTCTGGGGAGCCACCTTCCCCCTGCATGTAACCTCTGAAATTTTCAGCAGTTACACGATTACATAATTAAATGCATTTTAACAACCCTGTTCCCCATATATACGTGCCAACGGTTTAATTCAAGGGATTAGAAGTACTGTTCTTAATTTTCTACCTTCTAACAATGTCTTGTTTAGATCACAGGATGATATACATTTATTTAAAATTTCTGGAGATTCCAATCACAAAAAAATAAAATACACAATCACAAAAAGGACTGCTCAACTCATCTAGATATAAATGTCTATCTGCTGATATGAAGATAATAAAATACATAAAGGCTATGTCTACACTTGCTGCTTCTTGTGCCAGAAATATGCAAATAAGGCGAAGCATGGAATATTGCCGAGCATCATTTGCATACCTAATGAGCTGTCATTTTTTGCGGAAGAGGCTCTTGCCCCTTCTTGTGCAACAAAAACCTTCTTGTGCAATGCTGTTCTTCCTGAAAAGTAATCAGCGTAACGGCATTGCGCAAGAGGGTTTTTGTTGCGCAAGGGACAGTGTAGACAGCTCCTTCTGGCGCAAGAGCCTCTATGAAAATAATCATCATCCTGTCACCCATTCATGTTTTCTGCCATTTACCAAGAAAATGTTAAATAAAGACTGCATAAAGAAAACAGAAAAAGTTAAAACCTGGCTGTCAAGAAAATAGTATTTCAGGTGTTTTTATTCTAGATGAAAGCATGCATATAGGTTCTTTCTTAAAAGGTAGTAGTCCCAGCAATTATTAATATCTGTTTTCTAAACATTCACTATCTCATTCAAAGCATGAGTAGTATGGATAGTAGGAATGTTAAAATGCAAGCAATTAAATAACCATGTAACTACTGAAAATTTCAGCAGTTACACGCAGGGCAGCATGTGGTGTGCAGGGAGATGGCTTTTAAGCCGGCTCCCTGCACATACTGGCGCCTGCCTGCCTCCATGCTTCTGCCTCTGGGCAAATAACTCTCTGGGAGCCAATGTGCTCTGGGAGACCACTTTTAAGTCTGTTCTCTGCCCAGGCTCGTCAGTTAACCAGGTACACAGTTACACTTTCACGTCCCTAATGGGTATGGTGTAATACTCGTAAGTGACTCCTAAGTAGAGAGAAGAAAAGGCAGGTCTCCATCATTATGACCTGGAACCAGGTTGGGCCTACCAGTGCTGGTGTCCAACACAGCACAGCACCAGTCCCCAGAGCTGTGGGGAAAAAGGAGTTGCCAACTCTCCGGATGTGTCTACACAGCAACGTTATTTTGGAATAACCGCGAGCGTTTAATCAGCAATTCCATTATTTCAGAATAACTTTGAAATAATGGACGGCTTATTTTGACGTCTATAAACCTCATTCCACAAAGAATAATACCTATTTCAAAATAGTTATTTCTGAATAGGGGCTTTGTAGATGCTCTGTTTCTGCTATTTCGAAATAGCCCCTCACCAGGGCTATTCCTCCTGGGGCTCTAAATCGAGATAACACGCCTACATTAGGGAAGTCTGCCTCTGATTAATTTTGAGGCTTCTCTGCAGTGTAGATGTGCTATCGAAATAAGCTATTTCGGAATAACTATTCCAGAAAAGTTTATTCCAAAATAGGTGTGCAGTGGAGACGAAGCCTCCCAGACTAGGTGCTATTTACTGTAGTGACATCTTGTCCAGAAGAGTTGGCAACCTGGAGCAGGACTGAGAGAGGTGTGGGCCAGAGGAGCAGCAGATGGCCAGGCAGCTGGATGGAGAGAAGCAGCACTTTTAAGGGGAAAGTTCCACTTCTCTCCAGCCACCTATTGCAAGGCTGTCCCCTGTTCAGTTCTCCAGCCAGAGAGGAACACACATCTCTGCCTGGTGAACAGGGGGCTGGGTTCTGTGCTGTGGGGCAGGAGACAGGGAATAGAGCAAGAAGTGGCCAGGACAGTGGAGGGTGGGGGGATGGCAGCCAGGCACTGCTTCCCCCCCCCTCCCCCCCGGTCCTTCCCAGTTGCTCCAATTGGCCTCGATTCTATCCAATGGGAGCAGTGGGGAAAGCAGCCAGGCAAGCAGTTTCCTGCACTGCCAACCCCGCACACGCCGCAGCGAGAAGCAGGTACTGGCACTCCAAACACTTGGGCTGTGTCTAGACTGGCAAGTTTTTCTGTAAAAGCAGCTGCTTTTGTGGAAAAACTTCCCAGCTGTCTTCACTGGCCGCTTGAATTTCCGCAAGAACACTGACTTCCTACTGTCTGAAATCAGTGCTTCTTGCAGAAATACTATCTGCTCCCGTTTGGGCAAAAGTCCAGTGTAGACAGCTCTGATTTGTTTTGCGCAAAAAAGCCCCGATCGTGAAAATGGCGATCGGGGCTTTTTTGCAGAAAAGCGCATCTAGAGTGGCACGGACGCTTTTCCACAAAAAGTGCTTTTGCAGAAAAGCATCCGTGCCAATCTAGATGCTCTTTTCCGCAAATGCTTTTAATGGAAAACTTTTCCGTTAAAAGCATTTACGGAAAATCATGCCAGTCTAGACGTAGCCTTGGAGGCAGGGCTCAGGGCTGGAGCTCCAATGTGTGCTCTCTGCTCCGGGGGGGTTGGCTTGAGCCCGCAGCTCGCTTGCAAGGTGGGGGAGGGTGGGGGGAGGACAGCCAGACACTGCTTCCCCCCCCCTCCCCCCCGGTCCTTCCCAGTTGCTCCAATTGGCCTCGATTCTATCCAATGGGAGCAGTGGGGAAAGCAGCCAGGCAAGCAGTTTCCTGCACTGCCAACCCCGCACACGCCGCAGCGAGAAGCAGGTACTGGCACTCCAAACACTTGGGCTGTGTCTAGACTGGCAAGTTTTTCTGTAAAAGCAGCTGCTTTTGTGGAAAAACTTCCCAGCTGTCTTCACTGGCCGCTTGAATTTCCGCAAGAACACTGACTTCCTACTGTCTGAAATCAGTGCTTCTTGCAGAAATACTATCTGCTCCCGTTTGGGCAAAAGTCCAGTGTAGACAGCTCTGATTTGTTTTGCGCAAAAAAGCCCCGATCGTGAAAATGGCGATCGGGGCTTTTTTGCAGAAAAGCGCATCTAGAGTGGCACGGACGCTTTTCCACAAAAAGTGCTTTTGCAGAAAAGCATCCGTGCCAATCTAGATGCTCTTTTCCGCAAATGCTTTTAATGGAAAACTTTTCCGTTAAAAGCATTTACGGAAAATCATGCCAGTCTAGACGTAGCCTTGGAGGCAGGGCTCAGGGCTGGAGCTCCAATGTGTGCTCTCTGCTCCGGGGGGGTTGGCTTGAGCCCGCAGCTCGCTTGCAAGGTGGTCATGGACTACTAATGGTTCATGGACTACATTTTGAGAGCCACTGATCTAGTATAACTTTTAGGGTGAACACACGCTTAGATTTCACCTTATAGTTCCTGTAGCAAAACAGGATTGTGATTAAGCTAGAGCAAGTATTTTAGGAAGAGTCCATATTTAAAAACAGGAAGTGCTGGTACCTTGTAGCATCTCTTGGTAGTCTGTTCCAATGGCTAATTATCTTCACTGATCCATAAAAAAGTGCTGCTTTTTATTTCTACCGGTAGATAATAAATGATGATAGATAGCTTTATCCTTAGTTTATGTTTGCTGGAGGCAGATGCATTAATTTAGAGGTGTAAGAAATTAAATACTAATACAAACAAAAGCCAACTGTCTGCTAGAGATGTCAATGTATAGATGACTACACGATTAACCAATAAGTCTGGGCTTATCAGTTAATCCTGTGCACTACACACGTTCCCCACCCCTCCCCTTGCTGCCTCTTTACCAGAG